AATCCAGCTAAACTCAAGGTTTATAAATAAAGTTTGTGCTAAACTAAACACAAATTTATTTAAAATTAATATTTCATTTTCTGTGACAAGATTATTAAACAACCACTGATCTGTTAATTGGCTGGGAACTGGGAAAAAAAAAAGAAAAAAAAAAAGAATTGTGAGAGAGAAAGAAAGAAAATAATAAATAGAGCAGGAGACCGAAGTGGGTCAGAAGCACACGTTATGAGCAGGCAAATTCATGTGCCCACATGGATGATTGGAGAAGCCATTGCAGAATTTGTGGAAACGAAGAACACAGAACCAGCAGCAGCAACAGCCATAGGAGCAACAACGAAGAACCAGCAATCCAAACATACCTAGAATTCCAATTTTATCAATTGTAGCAGCCTACCACTCCACAAACCACCCAGCGATTCCTAAGCCAGCCAGGGGGAATCGCAATCGCAATCGCAATCGCCATCGAAAATGAAGGAGAACAATGATGGATTCGTGCGGGCGGATCAGATTGATCTGAAGAGTTTAGATGAGCAACTCGAGCGGCATCTTAACAGAGCTCTGACGATGGAGAAGAACAAGAAGAAAGATGAAGACGGCAATAGCTTTCTCACTGCCGCACCCATCCCTCGCAGTAGGTCTACTAAAGTCGCCGCCAAGGAGCGCCAGGAGTGGGAGATCGATCCATCCAAACTCATCATCAAGACCGTCCTTGCTCGCGGAACTTTCGGCACCGTCCACCGCGGCGTTTACGACGGACTGGATGTCGCCGGTCAGTCATCGCCCTCTTACTTTTACTCTACTGTTCACTGCTCACTCTCAGAGTTCTGCTCTTACTATATCTACTTTTGTTTTTTCTGAGTTCTTGGTGATCGAATTTCTTACTTCTGATCTTGTAGAGTGCTCATAGTTTATGCCTTAATTTTTGAAATTCACTTTAGCTTGTTTTCAATTATGTCACCAGACTCAACACTGGTTCTGTTCAATGTTCCCTGCTCTTAATCAGCTTAAATCTTCATGAGTATCTTTTCTGTCTATACTGCTGAATTTGTTTGAAAAAATATGGTTATGATTCAATAGTAGTTCTTTAAAATCTCTTAGCAATTTTAGCACCCCCTTCATTGGATGCCAAATAGTGATTGTTTAGACTTTTTTTTTGGGCTAACTTTTTATTTTAAAGACATGTTGCTACTGGTAGGAAGTGGTGATTGGCCATTTGAACTCTCTTTTAGATGATCCGTGATGCACACACGAGATTGAGTTGAATTTGTTTATGACAACGATGGCTTGAATTACTTTGTGTAAATAAAGTTTTAAACTTTCATGTGATTCCAGCTGTTGGATAAACTTTGACCTGGAAAAGCCAATATTATGAATTGGCTATTTCTGCTAGCTGCTACAGATTTGTATTTATTTCGGTCTTTATCATCATTATCATCTGCATTTTTTTAATGCCATCATTATCGCTCAATTATTTTAAGATCTGTTCGGTCACTCATTCACTCACTCACTGACTCATTTATTTTTTCTAAATATCAACGTAGTTTGTTGATTGTTAATGTCGTTGGATTGCTTCTGTTTGTTTGTTAGCATTCACTGAAGCTTTCTCTTGGCTTCTTTAATGCTTCAGTCAAGTTGCTGGATTGGGGAGAAGAAGGTCACAGGACAGAAGCTGAAATTGCTTCACTAAGGGCAGCTTTTAAACAGGAAGTTGCTGTTTGGCATAAACTAGATCATCCCAATGTTACCAAGGTCACTTGCGACTTCTGTGTCTCTTCACCTACTTATTGTGATTCTGAAATTTGAAGTGGATGTGTCTTGTTATACACTTAACCAATCCTTGATTCTCTTTTCTTGGTCGATATTGAATCGATGAAATGCACTTCTACTACTTGTTCCCTTTTGGAATACCTAGCATTATAGAAAATAGAGGATCTATTGGACCTAGAATAGTAAATGATCCAATAAGGCAATAACCAGAAACTGTTCTTTTTCCTCCCCCACCCTTCTTTTTCTAATTTTTTTGATTATTAATTTTATGAGAAAAAGGTTTGGCTATAATTTCCTTAAGCCTGCCATTGAAAACTATTTTAGCATGAACTTCAAAATTCAATTGAATGTCTTCTATACTGGTACCTGTACTGGTAAAGTTCAGTTGTGTTAAAGATTCCATCTAGGGTTCTAATCTCCCTCTGCCCTTGTAGTTTCATAGAAGGGGAAAAAGGAAACTGAACTAAATCTTATCCTTGACAGAACTAGATAAGGCCAAAAAACACGATGCCCACTTAGAGTGCGTCAATCAGATAAAAGAAGTCTTGACATCTTTTGATACAGTGGAAAAACTAGTGTCTTATCCAAACTTTTAAATCATCATCTTTCCTCATTTTTCCTCCTTCATTCATCGTGCTGGAATGGGAACTTTCTAGTATATCTATTTTATCGTTTGGATAATAGTATATCAAACTCGATGTGCTTATTCAGCAGTTTTAAAATTCATTTTCAGTTTATAGGGGCAACAATGGGCTCGGCGGAGTTACAGATTCAAACTGAAAATGGTCTAATAGGCATGCCAAGTAACATATGTTGTGTTGTGGTGGAATATCTTGCTGGGGGTGCGCTTAAATCTTACCTCATAAAGAACAGGAGAAGGAAGCTAGCTTTCAAGGTGGTTGTCCAGCTGGCACTTGATCTTGCTAGAGGGTACCCCCCTGCCCATACTATTCCTTCTGTTTGCTAATCTAACCTTTTACTTTAACCCGCATAGAAAGTGATGCATACTTCTTGTAGATGTTTTGGCTCTTAGAAAGGGTTATACTAATTTTGTAGGTTGAGTTACCTTCATTCTCAGAAGATCGTCCACAGAGATGTAAAGACAGAAAACATGCTGTTGGACAAAACACGTACGGTCAAAATTGCTGATTTTGGCGTTGCTCGAGTTGAGGCCTCAAATCCTAATGATATGACTGGGGAGACCGGGACACTCGGTTACATGGCTCCAGAGGTATGCAGTTTTCTACTTTTCATAGAGCTTGCTCGCATTAGCCGACTCATACAACATTTAGGAGCACTGAAAAGGCCATGTCCCCTATTCACTACATGGAAACCGGAAACTCAAAATGTAGCCATCAAAGACGGCAGTTTGATGATTTTGCTAAATTTTGTAGTATCTGTTTACAGGTTCTCAACGGCAACCCATATAACAGGAAGTGTGATGTGTACAGTTTTGGAATCTGCCTGTGGGAAATTTATTGCTGTGACATGCCATACCCCGACCTTAGTTTCTCCGAAGTGACTTCTGCTGTGGTTCGTCAGGTAAACTGCCGATTCTTTCGCCCAATGATCTTTTTCATATCTGCAGCACAATGTGTCCTTGGAAGAGAAAGCACTTCATTGTTCTTGACTTTTTTTTTTTTTTTGATAAGAAACTGCATCAACTCTGCTGAAACTTATAACTCCAAAACTGCAGAATCTGAGGCCAGAGATACCGAGATGTTGCCCGAGTTCTCTGGCAAACGTGATGAAGCGTTGCTGGGATGCGACCCCAGACAAGCGGCCGGAGATGGACGAAGTGGTTTCCATGTTGGAGGTCATAGACACATCCAAAGGTGGAGGTATGATCCCTGTTGATCAAGCTCAAGGTTGTCTATGCTTTCGAAAATATAGAGGGCCATAAAGATTTGTTTGTTTATTATTGGATACAGAAATCTGATAAAGAAAAAGATTATTTTGAAGATGAAAGGGGGAAAAAAAACCAAAATGTGATTGTGGTAATGACAAATAGAAGAAGTAGGAACATATATATTGAGAGGTGAGGCTAGTAGTAAAATAGATGATGGTGGTGGGTACATAAACCAGGGACTTTGCTGCCTTTCACTTTGCCATTTGATGTAAGCCTTTTGTAATGACATTAATTGAATGAATTGTAAGAGTAAAATGCAAAAATGCTATTTTCTTCTAGCTCCATGGATGGTTTCCAGAATTTGGAAAGATCTTAGAATCATGTGCTCGTTGTTTACTCGTTTTCATCCGAGTCGTTATCTTCTTCTTCCTCTTTTCTTCGTCTGCGACGGGTCCATGCTTTTGAAAAGCAAATCGGATTCTTTAGAGGTGGAAAAGAGGAACAAAAAATCAACTTGTGGGGAGGGAGATGGAGAGGGAAAATTCTTGGTTAACTCTTGTTCTCCCATTTATCCATGTTATGTCCATATTTTGAGTTGAGTATTAAGGTTCCATTAGATAACATTTTTATTTTTGGTTTTGTTTCACATTTTGAAAATGCTTTTGAAATAGAAATTTAGAGGCTACTGTTTAATTTTTTAAATTTAATTAGATTTTAAAAAAATCTTTAGTTTATAAGTTCATTTTTTTAAAGAAATATTATCAAATTTGATGTTAAATATGCAATCCAAACCAACCTTACATATTTGCAAAACTAACCAAACTTAATTTAATAGTTTTTGTTAGTTCAACAACTCGTGGGATGAAGATTTGAATTTTGATAAAAATATATGTTTTACCCAATAGAGCATATAGTTCAATGGCTTGTGGGGTGGAGATTTGAACTTCCGATTTTTGGATAAAAATATATGTTCTAACCAATAGAGCTGTGCTCTAGTTAACGCTTAATTTAATAATTTCGATGATTATTAGATAATATAATATTTTCATTAACTAAGGTGTAGGATTGGAAGTTAGAAACACGTATCAATGATACATTTCAAATAATTAAATTATTAATGTCAAGTTAGTAAAGCATCACATCAAATTGATAATAACTATAAGTGTATGTTTAACTAATAATTAATATACTTCACTTCATCAATAAAATATTATTCCTAATTTTGCAGTTTTTTAAGTTTAGCACTTGTGGCTTGAGAATTGAGAATTGAGAATTGAATATCTTATGGAATAAGACTTAAAAATAATTGAATAAAGTCAACAATATTTTGTTTTTAGTGATTAAGAAGAGTTAATGTTCAATCACATCATTCAAAAGGGACTGCTCAGATTAAGAAGTAGATATTATTAGGTTCAAATTGAGCACAAAAACAGAAGCAAAGCAAGCCCTGTTCTTTATTCTTGAGATAGAAAAGTTGCTTTTTCAGTTTTTCTTTTGTGTAAATAAACAAACTGAAAATAAAAGATCATTGCTTAGATTCACAACCATGCTGGGTTCTTCAGAGGAGTAACAACAGCCTTCACCTGCAAATAGTTTTGAAGGCTGTAAACTCCCTTCTCCCTCCCTATTCCGCTCATCTTATACCCGCCAAACGGTATTGCAGCGTCGAAGATGTCGAAGCAATTGACCCACACAGTTCCAGCTTTCAACGCTCGGGTTAGGGTGTTGGCCGTGTCTATGTTCTTAGTGAAAACTCCCGCAGCTAGACCGAAGCGACTTGAGTTTGCCCTTTGAATTACTTCATGGATGTCCCTGACATGACCAAAATTCAAGTTGGAAACTTAAAGAGAATGAATCGAATGACACACGACGACGACGTGTTCGGGGTGTTAGCAACTCACTTGAATTTCAAGATGGATTGTACAGGGCCAAAGATTTCATCCTTTGCTATTAACATATCGTCCTAATCAGAATATGTTCAACTGTCATTTCACATTCTTTAGAGTGGATAAGGAAACTTATGAAGACAATAGAATGATCACCTTAACATTTGAGAAAACTGTTGGCTGGATGAAGTATCCCTTAGAGCCAAGTCTATCACCTCCACATTCCAGACTAGCATTACTTTCAACGCCACATTTTATGTATCTTAGAACTTTTTCAAATTGCTCCGAGTCAATCTGGTAATAACCGTGACGTTGATGAGATTGTCGTTATCGTTAACATGAACAAGAGCCTCATGGATAGATGGGGAAGGAAAATACTTCAATGTAGAGAGAGTACCTGAGGACCCTGTTCAACACCCTTCTTGAAAGGGTCGCCAACTATGCGCCTTTGAGCACGTGCCTTTGATTTCTCGACAAATTCGTCATATACACGCTCGTGCACGTAAGTACGAGACCCAGCACAGCAACATTGCCCCTGAAGACGAACAAGGAACAACGTGTGTTCATGTCTTAGAAATCAAAGGCGAAATTGACTAGATACTAGATGGAAAAACCTGATTGTAAAAAAGAGCAAAATGAGCAAGCTCCACAGCCTTGTCGACATCTGCATCCTCACAAACGATGAAAGGTGATTTCCCTCCAAGTTCTAGCGTTACTGGCTTAAGATTGCTTTTCGCCGCCAATTCAAGCACAATTTTTCCTGTGTCTGTGGATCCTGTGAAAGCTAGCTGCAAACAGATCATTGTGGCGCCAAAAAGCCGAGCACAAACATGTAGATCAGTTCATGACAAATCATAAAACGTCCCAAATTTGAGTTTCAGACAAAGACATGGAACATATCAAGCAAAATGGTTTCAGGATTGTGCTCCATTGATCACCTTGTCTACATCCATATGGCTAGCAAGGGCAGCACCGGCCGTCGGACCATAGCCTGAAACAACATTCAGAACCCCTGGAGGAAGACCAGCCTATTCCATCGGTCGAGAGAGAGAGAACAAAGATTAGTCATCTATTAGATCGTTACATCGCAACATCGATTGACAGAACGATATCGGAGCAGACATAGCTTTGAAAACGCTACCTCGTGGAATAGCTTTGCCACATAAAGGGCAGTCAGAGGTGTTTGCTCTGCAGTCTTCAGGACAATGGCGTTGCCACAGGCTAGAGCAGGACCAACTTTCCAAGCAAACATAAGGAGAGGAAAGTTCCATGGAATTATCTGTCCTGCAACTCCAATTGGTTCATGTAATATTTGCACATGATGTTGCCCATCTGCTGGAACTGTCAAGCCATGGATTTTGTCTGCCCAGCCTGGATAGTTTGTGAAGAAACCAACAGGAAAATCAGTGAGAAACCTACAAAATAACAGCAGGATGATGACTGATATGGCACGATGCTGCGACGAACTAACCGGCGTAATAGTGAAACAGGCGAACAACTGTCGGTAATTCAGATTTGGCCGATTGTTCGTAAGGTTTCCCATTGTTCCATGTCTCCAATGCTGCAAGTTCAAGGCTATGTTTCTCAACCAAATCCGCAAACCGCAGTAATATCCTCGATCGTTCCTGAAAATCGACACGAAAAAGAACAGTTGATGTAGCAATTCAAATATAAGTAAAGAGGATAAAACAAGAGGAGTTGCAGCAGCCTGCAGGAAAGCATTACATAAGCACTCATTCTCGGCCATGGCCCCTCGTCAAAAGCCTTGCGAGCTGCCACTACAGCGCGGTTGATATCCTCGGCATCGCCCTCGGCAACATGAGCAATCACTTCCCCGGTCCGGGGGTCGTAGGTAGGAAACGTTTTCCCTATGATCAAAACATTTCAAAAGTTCAACCTTAGCTCCAGCCACCAGATGACTTTGAAAGGTAAGATTATGAAAGATTACACCAACTCCAGCACATGTTCATAAGAAAGCTAAACAGAAACAGAAAAAACAAAACAATTCCATTTGATGATGAAAAGTTCACCTGAAGCAGCATCCACAAACTGCCCATTAATCAGATGTTGAGTGTAACTTATCTGAACAGGAGGAGTGACAAGCTCCTCCTCTGCCACAGCAGATGTGCTGAATCTGTTTCCTCTTCCATGGAAGCTTGAAACCCTTCCTGAAAACCATACAATTTTCCTCAAAGTTTGATAACGACAGAAATAACAAAACAGAGGAACACATAGTAGAAAGAATTAGTGTCTATAAGCTTAATTTAAAAAAACAGAACATAAGAAACAAATTTTTTATCAAACAAGATGGAGTTCACTCATACAATTCTCAAAGCAAAACCATTAGAATTTGAAAGGAAATAGCCAGAAAGAGATACCAATGGTGAAAGTTTCTTTGAGATCATGAGACAAACAGTTAATATGCAGAAGAAGAAACTGACCTTGAGAAAGAAGAAGAGAAGAAAACCCATAACCAGAAGAAGAAGAGAGAGAGCGAGAGAGTAAAGAAGAGATTCCTCTGCGAGCAGCCATGGCCAGAAAACGAGACCCCTTCACAGTTCACACCCTTCACCACTCTTATCTAATCTCACACTGATTAAGTAGGTGGCAAAATTTGGCCACTAACGCCATTTTAGGCCAAGAATATACAAGTTTTAGGACCATAATTTAAACACCAAATGAAAATGGTTTGTTTCCAAATCACTTTCGCTTCTTTCCTTTTCTTTCCCCTCCAAAGATGGTGTGATTTGGACATGTACAAGCTACAACGTAGATGAGCCAACTGCTTACAAAGAAATTATTGTTTTGGTTCAATTACGCAATAATCACATTAATATTGCGCCACCCATTTAATCACAAATTTAGTAATACACATAAAAATTGAAAATTCAAAGTATTATACACAAAAGAAATGAAAGGGTTGTGTTTGTGCCGAGTGGAAAAGGCTGGTGAAAACAGAAGTGCAATTTTGAATCTGATATTTTAAAATGGGACAGAGAAGAAAAAGACGACGCCATTGAAATTGCTTGTTTGTTTCCTCCTCAAGTTGCCATCTGATTTCCACATTATCCGAAATTGTCAGAGTTGGGATTAAAAAAAAAATCGATGAACGGAGAGGAAAATTCTCCAAGTGTCGTAATATCTGAGAAATTGGATCCACTTGGATGACGAAGAACCTCCCTATATTCTTCCAAAGGTGCGGGTTTTCAGCTTTGTTTGAAATCGATGTTCGCAACTCGGCGTTAGATTTCGATCTTGATCCGATTTATTGGGTCTTTTTTCTAATATCATTTTCGTTTCTTGTCTTTTATATTCGTTTTTCTTTTCCTCTTTTTTTAATAAAGAGAAACACAATAATTATTTTTTGTTTGTTGTTCGTTTGATATTCATTTTGGTTCCCTCTTTTTAATAAATAGAAGCACAATAATTATTTTTTATTGAAAAAACATTATCGATAATTGTTCTTTAGAATTATCTTTTTTTAATTAAATATTTTTATGTTTTTACGTTATATTTACTTTTAATATTTGTCAGATATTTTTATTTATATTTTTTACCAGCATAAAAAAAAACAAATAAACTTGAAATTTTGAAAATATTTTAAAAAAATAGAAACAAAACAATAAATAGAAACAATACCATTTGAAAAAAAAAATTAAAAACAAAAAATGAAAATATCAACGAGTTAGCCTCACTTTCTAGTTTTTCAAACTACTGACTTCAACGACCTTAAAATCTTTGAAAAAATAGAGTACATTTTAATTCTGAATTTTCAATTCGGTCAAAATTCTAGAATTTCTTCTCTTAAAAAAAAATTATATATTTTCTTTTTGAATTCTTTTAAAAAAACAAGTGAGCTAGCGGAATTTATCTGATCGTTTTGGTTGTTTGCTTTCGCCCCATGTGAAATTGTCCTTTGAAAAAATAAAATGATAAAGAAAAGTATGAAATTAATTATTGGAAAAAGTGTAAATTCTTGAGATTGTCTCGACCACCAAAGTGGGGTAATAATTCCGATTGTCGTAATCCAACTCTAAATGCTGTCCTTCCATTCAAAATAACTCCAAAATTAACATAACACCAATAACTCCTTATTTTGGTTAATTCTCCTTACCATTCAAAAACCAATGCTTTAACATTTTTATTTTCCAATCAAAAGGTCGTTAGTTCGATTTCCAATCTCCACATGTTGTATTCGAAAAAAATGGTCAAGAGCTTAGATCAATAGCAAATGATATTCATTCATTCTCTTGAGGTCGGAAGTTCGAACCATGTACCTAAATTATTGTACTAAGAAAAATTTGTTATGGTCGATCATATGTAATTTAACTAATAAAGCGATACTCAAATATTTATATTCAATTTTCTCAAACAAGTATATTGGAAAATTAGAAAATTTGTCTTATAGTTATGCTGGCATTTAGTTTTTAACTCTGAATTATCTTTCTAAAAAAACTTTCAATCGGTTCTCTACTTTTTCATTTCCCCACCCGCCGCCTTCTTAACAAAAAGTTTCAATCTCTTTTAAAAATATTCATTGATTATAATTAATGTAATCAATTAAAGAATTAATTGAGAGAAACTTCGATCAAATATTTAAATTTCTTTAATAGAGTTGGTTGGGCGGATTAAATTTGAGGTAACAACACATATAACTAATTTAAATAGGCAATTTCAAAAAAATAGTCAAACAACTCTTAATTTTGAAGAACGGAGATATCTCCTCACTTAATAATCAAACTTGATGAACAAATACAGTGTGTTTTTGTATGTACCTCTAAATTATCAATCAAAGGAGAAATTCAAAGCATATACCTCGCATGACACCACAACAAAATTTTTTGTGACATTATTCTTTGTATTTGTGTTTGAAATTTATTTTGAGAGAAAAAAATAGAAAGAAAATTTGTATTTTAAAAGGATGAAATTTGTTTTTAGAGAAAAACGTATCTGAGTAACTCTTTAAACCAAATTAATATTACATTAAAAAATAGATAAATTGAAAAAGTTTTACTTACGTCACTCTCCCTCCTTAACCAATTGAACCAGTTTTATTTACATCACTCCCTCTCTTTAGCCAATTTCACTTGCTGTCATGTCTCCCTTGTCTTCTGTATATATGTGTACATATATTTTCAAATATATATTTAAAAGTGAGATAATGGTAGAATAAAATATGAAAGATAATGTAGTGAAAAATAATTTTTTTTTTAAATTTAGGAGAAAAAGTAATATTTTATTTTAAATATAGTAACTAAATAGTAAGGATAAAACGGTCAAAATCTAACCAATGAAATAGTTGAAAAAATACAGATGGATATTTTTAATAACAAAAAAATTATTTGGGCATTTTTAAAAGGGTGAGAAATACGAATCCTTAGTATAAATTCTCTTTCTTTCATAAATTCCATCCTTAGTTCTTTAATTTGTGGGCTTGTTTGAGAAAAGTCCAAATTTACCATCTTTTTTTGGAGCAGCCCAAATTTGCCATTGAGAGGGAATATTAACAAATTTGTCAATATTACCTCAAAAAAAGGAAAAAAAACAAATTTGTCAATAATTGTTAAATACTTTAGATATGTATTATATTTCATTACTTTATTCACATTTTTCTGTCCTATTTGCCACTAATTTTATTTTAAAATGGTTTCAATTTTTAGATTATTTCCTTATTGGATTTTGTTACCGTTACAAATTTTTATTTTAAATTTTACTATTTTCTCTCTCGCGTGTGCCAGTCCAGATCCTTTTCATAGGGAGAGAGAGACTATACTTTTCTAACTTTGGAAATAAAGGAAAGAGAGATTTAGTTTTGACTTAAAAAATATTTTTTATTTTTATTTTCAATAAATCTTGACATATTCTTTGAAAGGGTTTTATGTTTAAATTTAATTATTATTTTGGTACCTATATTGTTAACTTACTTTTAAAATGTTGAGTATTTTTACCGTTGGTTTATTTTAGTCATTTACTTTTAAAATGATAATTTTGATTCCTATACCTTTAAAAAAAAATACTAATTTATTCTCTATTTTTAAAATTTAACACAAATTTTATATACAAAGGAAATCCAAATTTATTGTACATTTAAGAAATTTAGTAAGTTAAGTGTCAAATTAAAATTTTTATGAAAAAATTGAAATAAAAATAAAAACAAAAAGGATCGCGTGGTCTATTTTAAAAAATAAAAGGACTAAAATAGACTTTCCATAGTAGAAGACCAAAATAAAGTTATAAGTTCAAGCAAAATTACATTCAATATCTCTTTTTCTTCTTCTTCTTTTTTTTAATATAAATACATTCAATATCTTTTATTTGTAAATCAATGGATGATTTATTTCAACAAAAATATATAATTGGTCCACGTCACTCCCATCCACAGGAATTCTTTTTTTTTTTTTTTTNAACAACCTCGCTTTGTAACTTTTAATATCAGGAAAATATGGTACAGCACAGATTTACAATTTGAACAGATTTGAACAGACTTTTCTAAGTATCTATCAATATATTATCATGTTGTGTAATTACACTTACATTATTAGAATTAATGGTGGAGATTATGTTAAAAAACAAACAATTCTTTTTGTCTCATCTCCTGGTTTTGTGAAAAACAAGGAAGAAAATGGCTTACTTGTAACTCCCCCAACTATCCTCGATGGAAAGCAGAGAAATCTGGTTCATCTGGCTTCAATAACTTGGGCATTTTAAAGCTGGTGGCATCAGAGTCAAGCCCAGACAACTTCTGGACAATCCCTTTTCTGGTATTTGCTGCAAACTTTGAAGCCAACATTGTGACTCCAAGATGTTGGGCCTTGCTCCCACTCCCATTTTTGAAGCCAACATTGTGACTCAACTCATTATGAGTGTTATTGGAATTGGGGACTGAAACTGAATAGAGGAATTCGTTGTCCTAGCAGAAACTGAATAAGAAGACAGATACTTTGCAAAAGGACTTGCACGGCAAACAAGCACAAGAGAGAGATGTCTCTCAATTCGACGTCGAAGGTCCTAAGGTAGAGAGCGCAAGATCGATTTTTCGTCGACACCTCGAGTCGCAATCCATTTATATCGAACTAACAGGTAACTGTCGATGCCTCGTACATTCCTCTGTGTCTCATCAATGCACACTTCACTCTTCAAGTCTAGCTGATACAGATACAGATTGCAGATAACTCTTAAAGAACACAAATAAAGATGGTTACATTTTCATACCTCATCCACCACCACCCTTTTCTTTGTACTAAAAAGAAAAAACCTCTATGCAATTTTCATTTTCAGATGTCATACCTGCACTTGGTCAATGAGTGAGAAGAGAACCAACCCCGCTGAGCAAATCAAAAAGCTAAATAAAACTTCACCAATGTAAGTGCTTGTCGCTAAATTTTGTCCATATGCATTGCAGAAAAAGAAAATTAAAAAAAAAATCAGGAATAAAAAGTTCATATGTAGATGACTAATTTATGCATTCTTCTAAGTTAATGAAACTAATGTTTAGACAGAGACAAAGACCTATGCAGTATCAATTTAAGCATACATCAGTCTGAATAATATGGGTTTGTCACTTGTAAATTGTCAACAACACTCCGTTCAATTTGCACACAACTCAACTGACAACATTTAGGTGACAAGAAAAAATACCAAGTAGGTGATGACCATAGTTTGATGAACTTTCCTCTTATAGCTCTAACTTTTTCACTGATCCTAATGACCACCAGACTATTTCATGGTGGTTCTTCAGTAAACCTCATTGAACATCGATACAATTGAATGAATTAGTTTCAGTTTACAGATTAGGAAGGCAGAAAGAAAGATTTGCATGATGGAACACGTTAGAGGCAAACCAAAAAACGTACCTCGAACTCTTCAAACCCCACCAAAGGCAGTAGAAGTACTTGTCGAAAAATTTGGAATAAGCAACTTCATCAGTAAACGCATGAGCAAACAGGCGAGACACAAATACTTGTCATCATTTAGCGGGGCTGCTCCAAACTATCACAGTTGAGAAAAAGAGGTTGCAAGAAGGGGAACGAGTGGCATTCATCTCCTTTCTGCAGTCGATCTTCCAACACTCATCCTGGCGCTGAATTGATGCCACATACCATGCAGCTCCTATAACCTGCACTGACAAAATGAAACCATAGTAAGAAGTGAACTACAGAGGAGTGAAAAAGATTGAGAGAGTTTAGTTTTGGTGAAAGGGGAAGTACATGGCTAGCAAGCAAATAGAGGAGGAGATTATAAGCAGCACTAGCCCAAGCAGTTTTGACAATTGCTCCAGTGGACTTATTGATGAGGAAATATAACAAATAGGCGGGGGGGCATACTGAATTAGCACAATCAGAGCAAGAGTGTGGTTGTTACGACCTGCTGTTGGGTTTTTTAGTGCTGGAATTACGAACCAAATCACAATCTGCGGTAGTAAACATCATATTATATACATTTACATGTTTAGTTTTGAATTTACAACTTCATTGAGGGATAAGACAAGCATATGAACGAGGAAACTCTAAGCTCAACCGTGAGTGCGAGTTTCAGTATATCTGTACATGCCTATCACAAAGCTTCAGGCTAAACATCCGCAAATTTTGTTTTAATTTTGTAAACTCAAGTTACATTTTCGTACGCTCTAATGTAAAAATCTCCTAAAACTCTCTAATTTCCATAGTCTTACACAAAATCAGATGGGTCGATGCCCACAAATTTCGAAAGATTCAGCTCTAATGTTGTATTTCTCTAAAATCCCATCAGTTTTGTATTAGGTTATTAAAGCTTAAAGGAGTCTAAAGTCTAATTGGACGAATTGAAATTTTGGAGAAAAATCAATATTCCCATTCCTTTTTCCTATCAACCAAGCTTTATAACTTTGAATGTATATGATCAATTCTGTCCCGTCCCTGGCCCCGCCGACCTAATTACGCCTAATTTCCGGAAGACAAAGGTAAGAAGCCGGAAACATTAGCCAAACCCTGAAACCCTAATTCGAAGAATTCAAAATTCACCTGCGGCATGGGAAGCGCAACGGCATGGTCGATGACAGAATCCTTCTTGAGGTATCGCATAGCAATGGCCCTGGGGTCCATGACGAGCTCACGGAGACAGAATTCAAGGTTTCTGGTAGAATGGCAGCGAAATCCGGCGAGCCACAGCAAGTTTCGCGCACGACTTTATTTTTTCCCCCCTTCAGTTCCTCTCTCTGCGCTGCCCCAGTTCCGAAATCGCCATAAACATTGCGCGCCAAAATTAACTAACTTTTCATATTGAAATTCAATTCTTCCAAATATTCGGTAAAGAGTAGAATTGCAAAAATAGTACAATAAAAATATGATATTATTTTAAGATCTATAAAAATAATAATTTAAAATTTTACCTATGGAAATTCGAATATATCATTCTAGATAATTACTTTTTTCAACTTTGAACATGGCCGCTTTGCTTTTGATTTCACCCAAAATGTCTCGTAGTTAATTGTACGAAACCGAATCACACCGACTCCATAGTTTTGACTTACCTTTGAGAGGTGACCCCTTCCCTATTTATAGTCGAATAGCCCCCTAGGGTTCCACAGTCGGCTAACCCTAGATTTGGGATCCTGTAGGCCAGTAGGCAAGAGGTGGATTAACCCTAGGTTCTGGATAACCATTGGAGGGCAAAGGATGGGGTTCGGTACCGAGCAGGGGTCGGGACCGAGTCCTGCTCGGTTCGACCCACCACTCGTGGGTCGGCCCACTTGGTTTGTCTATATTGTAATCTTTAACCCATAATAATACCCATCGTCAATCTCTTTCCAAGCCAATGTAAGACTTTGTTTGCATTCACTTACAAACCCAACATTTAGTACAATAAATTGGGGTAGGGAGGTTTGAACTTCCAACTCAAGAGAAGAAATGTGTTATAATTGAGTCGTTATTGGCATTGTTTATGAAATTTGAACGTTAATTTTAATTTTGTAGCATAAAAAATTACTGAAATAATGAAAGTACGAAAGGGCTCTAGAGAAAAATGAAGGGTTAATACTATTAGATAAGAGATTAAGTTAACTTTTGGACCTACCTGTCCCCAAAATTGTACATTTTATGGTAACTTGGATTTCCATGATCAATAAAGATCCTTTACATATAAATATATTTTTATCTCTTAATGGATATTCCTAGCTTTTCGGTGATTTTAGTAGCAATTAAAAAAACAATTGCACATAAAATATAAATAGATAAGTATTTTGTAGATTAATTGATATGACATTTATTTCATATCAAAATTTTGAATCCGCGTTAGACGAAGGTTCAAACTTACGAATTTTTAATTTAATAATCTTTTTTATTGCTATTATAAATTTTTTCCTCTTATTCTAAAAAGTGTGATATGAAAGTATAAAACGATTTATTTGTTATATTTTTTTTGTTTTGGTTTCATTCTATACTTTTAAAACATCTAATTTTGATCTCTGTTTTTAAAGTGTTATCATTTTGGTTCTTTCATTTTCTCTTTTATCGATTATAATTTTAGCACGACACACTATACTTAATACATTTTTCAATATATAGTCAATAAATTTGAACCAAAAGAACTTTTCGTTGCCCATTGAATTTGTGTTAAAATTTTACAAACACACTAAAGTGGTCATTTTTAAAAGTACAAGAACTCAAAACTGACGTTTTGAAAGTAGAAAGACTAACACTAACAAAATTGAAAAGTACTTAAACTAAAAGATCGATTAAAACAAAACACGTACGCGTGCAATATAAAATGCGAAGAGTAATGATTTAAAATGATAAGACTTTTGAAGAATGAGCGGAGTATATTTATATATTGTAAGATACGAAATTGAATCAGAAGACGTAACAATCCTAGAGATATGTATACAAGGACATGACAAATTAAAGAGCATTTTGGGTTAGTGATCATCCCATTTGGGCAAGATTACAAATCTACCCACTTCAAATAAATCCCCACTTTCAAAAAACACAATCATCATCACAATATCTGAATCATATACAATATATGAATTCTATATTTTTCTATATTTTGTTCTTTCAACTCTACCTAAAATAATATTGTCCTCAACAAAAAATTTTCCATCATAGATATCTATATTTTGTTCTACCCTACTTCAAATTAGTATCATTAATTGATGTGCGATGTTGATAATTTGAATCCAAGTAGAGTAAAAAATTAAGGAAATAAATCAAAGTGCTGCGTCATGACTATCATAGGTTTTATTCGACTATAAATCAAGATGATGTCCAATCTAGAAATAGTTAAAAAGAGATTTCTTTTTCTCTATATTTTCTCCTCTAAACTCAAGTATCGTGACCCTCATAATATTGCTCTCTCACACAATTAAATTTCTATCTCTCGAATTTTAGTATGAAACTACTACTTGAACTTAAATCAAGCATATTTGACGATTAAGTTTCACCAATCTGAAGTACACGAGACTTTTGTCGCAAGCTATCATATAATATACACAAATATATATTACAATGATCAAAGCATCCATCATCATGTTTCGTTCAAAATTCAAGCAGCAATAATAGATCAGCACCATCATAAATTGACTCATTGTATAAAGTAGCCAAGGTAAATAAAAAATATTTAAAGGGAATGAGTTTAAATTACAAAATAGACACTTACCTCGAACTTAATTTTCTATGTGTATCTCCTTGGGCACTTGTCTCGCAAGCTTGGCAGGATTAACAACTTAAAATGTCAGCCATTGGCATCACAATGATGAATAAAGGAATAATAACACAAACTTTTCCAAGTCAGAGAATCAACTCAATTCTATTATCAAAGCATGTGGAACAAGATTTGGTCAAGCACCTTTTTTTTTTTTCTTGCCCACCATATTTTTTTTCTTCCTATATAAACCCCGAAAGGCCAGCCCATCAAAAAGCCAAAAAAGATTCCTCAGCTCAGAGCTGGAGAAACAGCCATGGATGCAAATGGGGTTGTTTCTTTTGCAGAGAATTTGGTGTTCAAGTGGCAGAAGGAGGAAGCCTTCAACAATGGCGGCTCTGCAGATCGCAATGGTTCATTGGGTTTGAGCTCTGATTTTGCACAAGATGAAGATCACACCATTAATGGTGATAGTCTTGATCATCCCAGAATTCCTGGTTGGTTTTCCGAGCACTGCCCACAATGGCCAGGTGGGTTATTACAGACCCGTTTGGTAACGGTCTCTTTCTCTAGTTTTTAATTTACTAAAAAAAATCTGTATTTCTAGGTTTCTTGTTTCCTTCTTTTTTAGAAACATTGAATATAAATTTTCAAAATAACACAAACAAATTTCTAGTTTCTTATTTTCAAATAAAAATATTATTTTATCATTTTTAGTTCCATGGGTGTTGGAGGATCATTCAATTCTTTTTCTTAATTATTAAAAAAGGTAACATAATAAGAAATGAAAACGTTGTCAAAACAGACACTTTTAAGTTACTTTATATACAAATTTTCTAGCTATAATTTCTTAAAATTTTCTTTAACAAATTGGAAGGTCTTTTTAAATTTTCTTCTTTAAGAAGTAAGTAATGTGTTGATTATTTAGTTGTAGGTCTCCTTAACCTGCAAAAATGACATAGAATAATATAGTGTTTGATCAAAACAATGAACGCTATGAATTATAATCAGTGTGTCACATTGATTAGTTTTTTTTTTTTCTTTTTCTCTTTCCTTTTTCTTTGAAGAAAGTTGTTTGCCATGTGAGTCTGGTGCAATCTAATTCCCAAAAAACCCTCTAGTTAACTTTTTTCTTTTTTCGCAATCTGATCATAGCACCAAGTTAAAACACATATTTGTTAAGTTCCAATCTTCACTTCCACATTATTACAAATTATTTTTTTTAGTATGTGACGTTAATATAAAGTAGTAAAAGAAACTTCATGATGACTACGTACCTTACGAATTAGTAATTTCTATGTGTTTTCCGATGTTAAATGTTGTAGGGTTAGACGGTTGTTCCGTGAGATTAGTCGAAGTACGTGTAAGCTAGCTCGAACACTCACAGATATAAAAAAATAATAATAATAAAAGTAGTAATGAAAGAAAGCAAAGCAATGAGCTTTTAGGTAAGAAAATTGAAACCTATTGTTGACAGCATGCATTGTAATCTAATAATATCATTAGGTACAATCTAAAAGCACAAAATTTTATAAGAGACATGTTTGAAAAGGTTGCCTCCCAACATTGATCATCCTTATTAGATCTTCTGTTTCAGACATCAAAGAAAGAAAGAAAAAAAAGAGAGAGAGAGAGAGAGAAACATTTTGATGATGAATATGTACTAATTAAAATGAACTCCACAATTCTACAGGTCAAGCACACTTCTTAAAGGTAGACAAAGTTCTGTTTCAAGGAAAGTCTGATTATCAATCCATGTTGGTTTTTCAGGTAACATATGATAAAATTTACCACAATGTCCTTTTAATCACAAAAGTCGTATGGTATCGATAAACATGTTGGTAAAGCATGAGCCAAAATGGGAAAATTGGATCAATCCAGCTTATATGGTTTTTATACTTTCAAAATATCTATTTTAGTCCCTATACTTTCGAAATGTATGTACGTTTTAGTTATTGTACTTTTATAGAGTCGTGTTTTATCTCATTTCTTTTAGTCACAATTTTAACATAACATTTACTAAATTTATTGAAATTTAAAGAGTTTCTGTAACATTTGTGTTAAAATTTTATAAATAGGAACCGAAATGAATCTATATGGACCAAATAAGACAATTCGAAAATACAAAGACTAAAATAAACATTTTGATAAACCATGAATCGTAAGAGAATGATCTCATTAATTCAAGTCGGGAAACTACTGACTTTTTAAGATCTGATTTCAAATCACCCAAAGAAAGGGAAAAGAAAAAGAAAAAAGGGCAATTAATTAGGTGATGCTTAATCCTAATTATAAATTAAATTTGTTGTTCAGTTTATATACTTTTAATTTGAATTAATTAAATAAATGCAGTCATCAGCATATGGAAAGGTATTTGTGTTGGATGGAGCACTCCAACTCACAGAGAAAGATGAATGTGCTTACCAAGAAATGATTACCCACCTTCCTCTTTGCTCTATTCCAAACCCCAAAAAGGTAATTTCACTCTCTAATTAAAATGTATTTTTAAGGAGGCAATTAATCAAACATACCATAAAATCATGAGGTGCTAACTGATAATCTGATCATCTCCATAAAGTTTTATTTCTTTCTTTTTTTAAAAAATATTTTAGCATATGGTTTCATATACATCATGTTATCTTATAATTGAGTTAAATGTACCAAACTTTGGATCAGTTTTCCAATTCCAAATCATGATTACTTGACCACTTTAATTTCTTATCTGACAGGAACAGCCATATATATCCATTTTAATTTCTTGTGTTTTTCTTATTTATTTTTATTTCTTCAGGTTTTGGTGATTGGGGGAGGAGATGGTGGCATCCTAAGGGAAATTTCTAGGCATTCTTCCATTCAGCAAATTGATATTTGTGAAATTGACACCATGCTTATTGATGTTAGTTCACATCACAATAATTTATGCCCTAATTATTTTTCTTCTCTTGAATTTAACTCGAATTTCTAATTAACTTCTGATTTTTAGTCGATGATATATGTCTTAAAAATCAATTGAACTATGTTCGAATTAACAAGATTGTCAAGAAAAACGCCATTTATTATTATATAAAGATAGTTAAACAAAACCCCATATCTAAAATCAACTTAAGAAAGAGATTTAGCAGCTACCCAATAGAGTATTAAGGGAAAACAAAGAAAAAAGGGCTACCCATGAAGGTAAATACCATTAATTTATGTAAAGTTTGTAACTTTTCTGTGACTTTCTTTTCAGGTGTACAAGAAGTTTTTTCCAGAAATTGCAGTTGGGTATAAAGATTCTAGAGTGAATCTTCATATAACAGATGGTTGGTTTGTCTTCCACCTCTTTTTTTTTTTTTTAACCCATAGGGTATTAAATTTATGTCGAGATTTCCATCGATATTTCCACATGTCCATAGATTCGATATCGATATAAAGGGTTGATCAATCTTATACTTTGATCCATCAACCTTTGAAAAGATAACGTCTTTACTATATTATTTTACCACCTAATATTTGTTTACCCAATACTTATCTTCATACCTATATATATGTACTTCGAATATATATCAGTATTCACGTTAACATGTTACTCCACTTGTTAAAAATCGCGTCGTCAATTTGTCAAGAAAAAAAAGGTAATAGAACAAAATAATTATCTAGAAGGGAAACAATTTTGGTTCCAGGGTTTAAATTTACTTTTTATGAGTTGTTTTCCAAGATTATTGACTCGACATTTCTATAAAATTGAGATATATATTTGGGTTTCTCGACAGGAGCTGCGTTTTTGAGTTGTGTTCCAGCAGGAACCTATGACGCAATCATAGTGGATGCATTTGATCCAATAAGTACATTCAGATCACAATTGAAATTTTTGGTTTTGTGTATATATATATATGTGTGTGTCTGTTTTTGATTTGTTTGGATGTGTTGTTGATTATGATAGAGCCAGATGATGAGATTGTGAGAAGCAGGTTGTTTGAGATGGTGGCCAAAGCACTTCGGGGTGGAGGAGTGCTTTGCATTCAAGCAGAAAGCATTTGGTTTCGTTCTCTTGACATTGAAAATTTGATCTCAAAATGCCACCAAGTCTTTAAAGGCTCAGTTCAATACGCTTGGACCATTGTTCCTGCTTATCCCAGGCATGAAATAATCTTCTTTGTCTAATAAATCTCTCCATAAAAAAAAAGGTTATGATCTAATTAGTCTAAACTCTATATATTTTTTTCGTTTTGTATGTCCTTTTTGGTACAACAAATTGGGATATGAGAATTTAAACTTCCGACCTCAAAAGAAGAAGTAGGTGTCAATTACTATTGAACTGTTTATATAATACTTATGTTTGACTTTCATCTAGTATGATTAATAAGTCAAAGACTCGTTAGACCAAAAATTCAAAGTTGAGGATCTAAATTCATGTATCAATTAGATTTACAAAATTCAAAGTTTACTTTGACCTAATAATCTGACTTTTTTTTTTAAGTTTAGAGATCTATTTGGCCCAACTCTAAAAATTCCGAGGATAAACCTTTTAACGAGATTCAAATATGACTTGAAAGATTAGATTTATAACCCATCTAAACTTTTAAGTTGAATGCACGGTAATTATATAATATGGTATCAAATTAGAAGATACTAGCTACATGTGTTTAACTTTAAACCATGTAACGTTATTTTCTCTCCGAAGATATTGATTCTTAGTTATTATTACTAATTTTCAAGCTCATATGTGAATAAAAAAATTAATTAAATTTAGTATGAAACAGAAGTGTTGACTTGTGAAAGTGGGTAGGGTTGACTAGCTTTTGAAGGTCAAAGGGAGGTTTTGTGTTTTCGAGGAAAACAAGAAAAGGAACTAATAAATTAATATAGTGTGTGTCTTTTTTGGCAGTGGGGTGATTGGTTTTTTGCTTTGTTCAACACAAGGAGCTGAAGAAGTAGTGGACTTCAAGAATCCAATCAATCCAATTGACCCAAATCAAAGTTTTGGAGTTGCAACAAAACCCTTGAAGTTTTACAACTCAGAGGCAAGCAACAACATTTCTCTTTCTATATTTTACTCTCATTATAATTAATTAAAGATGGCAAAAAGATGAAGTTCTGAGAAGTAAGTGTTTGAAAATATAATATACAATAATAGATGAATTAGTAGTGTAAGTTCTTCAAACATGAACGTATTTGATGTTCTTTCCTGTAGGTTAAAAGTAGATAAAATAAAGTAACAACAATTGAGGAACAAAGAGATATGAATAGAAAAACTTAACATTAGAGGATTTATACCGGTTCACTCCAATCTTGAGACTACGTCTAATCTTCAGCAAAAACAGGTCCTACCATGTTTAAGAAGATTACAGAAATAGAGATCTCACTCAAGATTATATCATCTGTCATGACTATCTTTCTTCTAACTACTCTAACAATGATTCTCTAGTTAGGACTACACAATTGAAACACTCTTGCTGAATCCATGAGATACACACTTGCCCTTTTCACAACGACTCCGAGTTAAAATTTATAGGTGACTGATTTTTTTTTTTTTTTTGGCAGGTTCACTCAGCAGCATTTTGCCTGCCATCATTTGCAAAGAAAGGGAAGGGGTATTTGAGAAAGAGCTGAGATTTGGTAGGAAATTGGCAAATTAAACTTAAAAAGTGGAATTAGGAGATCAGGGGATATGGAAACAATATTATTTGGATCAATATATTTGGAGATTTGTCCAGCATCAAATCTTTTTACTATGTGGTTTCCCATATTGTGTTACTAGCTAATATAAATGTCCTTTTGGGTTTGCCTTGAAGATCTTCAAAATCTTCAAAGGGTTTGCATTTTTCCCTGGCTTATTTTAGCTTCTCTCTGTCTCCCAAAGTTTGTTTCTAAGATCCGAATTTAATACTTCAACGTAAGTGGCATCTCAAGGTCTCAAACACTTACCACTGCATCATCCCTTGAAAAGACGATTTAGTGAGATTCTTATATATTAATGATATACTTTTATTTTTATAGTTCTCTATCATGGGGTCTAAAATACTTAAAATGATTGAATGTAAACTCAAGAAGGAGACAAATAAAACTCAAAGATCAATCCTTCGTTATGTTGAACAACGTAACATAAGATCCTTTTTCTTATCCCATCATTCTCATTACTCAGTTAGATACCTTAGACCATGGTGCACAACGCAGAGCTAGTGGACGATACCACTTAATGGACACCCATGCCCCTACATCGACAATGTAACGTAAGACATTTTTTCTTATCCCTTCATTCTCATTACTCAATTGATACCTTAGGTCATGGTGCACAGTGCAAAGCTAGTTGTCGATACCATTTAATGGACACTCGTGCCCGTACATCGAGCATGGGAGAGAGAGTGCGTTGTCGAGTTGAATTTGATGCGAGCTTGCTAATTCGACCATGATTACACGTAGTTGTTTCATCGCTAAAAGTCACAAAACGTCGTTAATACATGTTGGGGAGGGGATTTGAACTTACAACCTCTTGATTGGAGGTATATGTTAATTACCCTACTCACTTTGGCCTAAATAGTTTATTCATGTTTAAGAAGGTATCGAGGTCCTGTATTCGAATTCATGTATTATCATTGTCTCGCACAAGTGAAGGGAGTGTTAGATATCAAATATAAACGATTAAATTTAATATAAATGGTAGGTACCCTCCATTTGCTGGCCTAGAAAACTAAAATTCTATTTTGGTTTGAATTTGGTTCATTCTAGTTCATGTACTCTAAAAAATTTTTCATTTTAGTCTTTTACTTTTAAAGTGTATGTTTTAGTTTTTGTATTTATAAGAAGTGACCAATTAGGAACCTATTTACAAAATTTTAAGACAAGTTTTATTCACGTATGAAATCCTTTAATATAAATTTATGATTATATTTCAAGAAATATATTGAGTGAAATATCATTTTAAATTAGGATCAAAAGAATGAGATAAAAATAAAAATAAATCGACTAAAATAGTTACTTTTTAAAAGTATAACGATTAAAATAGATATTTCAAATGTATATTGGGCCAACTACTAAGACTAAAATGAACCAAAGATAATAATACTTAGACCATAATATTAATATACTTAATCTTAAAAGGAGATATTAAAAGTAAAATCATTGTTTGTTCAAAAAAAATAAAAATAATAAAATCATTGTTCAATCAGATTTAAAACGAGTCAGCGACTTGTCGTTCAGCTTCAACGAGCCTACGACGAATCGGAAGGTAGGTTGGGTTAGTCCAAGATCGGCCCAACTTTTATGGCCCACAATCTTCTCGGGCCAAGCTAAGCCCATCACCCGTTTCAAACTTCTTTATTACTGCCCTTCTATTGAATTGTGAAATAATTTTTTAAAAAAAAAGGAAAAAGAAAAAAAATCCCTATGTACTTTGATAGTTTTAATTTGAATTTTGGCCCGCATTTTATCTTTCAAATGTAAACTTATCATTTTAAATTTTATAAAATTAAAATAAAATAAACTATAATAAAAACAAAACAAAACAAAATAAAAAATCACACGACATGCTATCTTTGTAAAAATATAATGCTACTGTTTTATTATTATATAATTAAATAATCTTTTTAGAAGTATAAAAATTAAATTTTTTGACAAAAGTTTTATAGAAAAAACTAGCGTAATGGATAAATTTAATCTCAAATAGAATATTAGGAAGAAATACAAAATGGTTTTGATCAACAAGGGGAAGGAGTCGCCAAACATTGCACGTAAAGAATTTTATAAAAGTAAAACTCATGTTTTTGCCTTCAGTCAACAATTTTATGTCACAGTCACCAACTACTATATTATAAATTTATACATTTTTTTCCCTAAACTTAAATATTTCTTTTTTTAAGTTTGTCAATTTTAAAATATATTTGTTTAACTCTATATCATACTTTATATTTTTGCCACTATGACTAAATTACAATTTTCGTCTCTAAATTTTCTATTGAGTTTCTTAATTCTTTTAAAAAAGAACTATAATTGATTCATAATTGTTTAGAATTTGTCTATCTACCTTGGTATTTTAAAAATTTTATAATAGATTTGTGGACTTTTAATTTTGCGTCGGATAAGTATCTATTGTTAGTTACTTCCATCAATAGGTACTCCCAACGTGTCGCTGCTTGATCGGCGAAAAGGAGCGCACGCAGATCGGAAGATCCTTGTTGTTTTGGACTGGACAAGTACCCCAATTTATACCGCATTCATCTTTCAGCAAAGTTGATCACATTCTTTGTATTGTTTACTGTGTGTGGAGTCAATAAAAAAAACCTTAAAATTTTAAGTCAGGGTTGGATAACGATTTTGTTTTTTGTTTTTCTAAATTTATGCTTAGAAACATTACTTACATGTATGTGTTCATTTATTTTGTTATATAGTTTTTATAAACATTTTCAAAATCTATGCCAGATTTTGGAAGAAAAAATAGTTTTAAAAAAAGTAGCTTTGTTTTTTAAATTTGACTCATAATTCAAATATATTTTTAAAAAAGGTAAAAAACTTACCAATGAAATTGCACAAAAATAAATATAAAGGCTGACATTATGTTTTTATTGCCACTATCAGCATAGTTTAGCAGTAATGACACCTATTTTTTCTCTTGAGATCGAAGGTTCAATGTTCTCTACTCTCAATATAATTTGTTGTACTAAAAAAAATATTACATTTCTATTTGTCTATCAATTTCTTCATTCAATTAAAATCATCCATAACATCACATCAATATTATTTTAAGAATACTAAAAACTATATAACGAAAATATATCTTAACATAATTTATAAGATAAGACACCAATAATCTTACTTAAAGATGGAAGGTTCAATACTCTACCCACACCATATCCGTTGAACTAAAACAAAAATTTGAAAAGCGTAATTAAAATAACTAGTGTTCTTACAAAAAATGATCGGTAATCACAATAACTTCCCGAGAACACTCGTGGAATTAAACCTGCAAAAATAAATTAGCATTCTGACGGTCTTGTTAGTATCTGTGCTAGGTAATCAATAAGAAAAATGTAATAATCAGTTTTTTTTTTACCCCGCTCTCATTATACCAGTGGTATTTATAGATTGAGTTGTGGAAAACTGACCGTTGAGGAATTTGGCTCCTCATTTGAATTATACGGTTTCCACCCATATATTGCTTGTTGAGTGGGGGAGCGGTTGTACTTAGCTCTGCCATTCCTCAATCTCGTGTCCCTTGGAAATTATCGATTAAACAATTAGATTTAAAAAAATAAATTGGCAAATAAAATATTTCGATACATAAACCTGTGTGATGGTTTCATGCAGTGAATAATTTTTCTTACTTTCAAGATAAATTTTTTCGTTTGTACCTCATAAAAAGAACAGCAGGTTGATGGATCATTACACTGATTATTTAATAAAAGCAAGAACGTTAGAAATTAGGATGAGTAAAGTTATAAATCAACATAAAATGTTAAAAATAAAAATAAGGCAATGAATAATGATGTAAAAAGAAAAAGAATTAATAGGGGAGGAATTTGGATAAGAGCGGAACATTCGATAATCCCATCAAATCAAAAAGTGATGGGCCCCACTTTCTTCCTTTTAATGGATAAGGACCGAAGACCTAATTTCTCTCAAAATTCCATTTTTTTAATTTAAAACCATCCCCTCCCAATCCCATTCAATTCAATTCAATTATACATGTCCTATTAAATTAATTAATTTAAAATTAAAATGCTGTTTTCTTTTGTTTGGTTTCCCCCACGCGCTTTTGAAGCCGGGTCACGCACGATACCAGCACGGCCTCCATATTTCACGTGCTCCGTTGCCTCCCTCTTAAATTCTCAATTAATTACCCTAATTAACTCATTTCCTATCTATAATCCTTCTGATTAACATATATTAATTAAATACAGTGTCCCACCGAGACTACATAATTTTAATCTAGTCGTTATCATTTAAACTTAATTTTAATTTAATCTTTATAGTTTTCTTTTTGAAAAATTAATCTTTATACTAATTTAGTCCACTAGGTAGGTAATTAAAGATAAAATATCGACTCCTTAGAAAAAATGTTGAAATTAAATTCAACTTATAGGTAGTAAATTAAAATTTTTAAATCTATAGAAATGAAGTTTTGTAATTTAACTCAATAAATAATTTTGTATATTTAATTTTCAAGAATTTCATTTTTACTTTATTTTGCACCATAGAAGTATGATTTAAATTATATTTTGGTGGATGAACTTTTAAACTTATTTTTATATAATTATATATTTGAATTTTAAAAGTTCTCATTTTAATAGTTTATAGATTTATGTCATTTTGACGGTCAAACTTTTAAAATATATATTTTTGGTCAACTTTTAATAAAGTATTGTGCATTGTTTACTTATGGGATAATATAAATTCAAACATGTGTATTAGCCATTTATTGTTAAAAAGAAAAAAAAAAGTAACACGCCATTTATAAGTTAGCTGAGGTGGCTATTGAGGAGATGATTATTAAATGTAAAAAATAATAACAATGATTAAAATTGATAAATTAAAAATTTATAGACCAAAAAACGATGAATCAAAAAATTGAGTCACTGAAATAGAATTTAAAACCATTGAATATCTGTTAATTGAATATGAAACAATAGTTAAAAGTAATGGCTAAAAACTCACAAGATGGTGAGCGTGATACGAATACATGTGTTGTACTAAAAAATGATAATAATTAAAAATATTCAGATTTGGTAGGAAAGGATGACGTGGATGATTACGTTACCCCAAAAAGTGGGGTCCACGTGGCTGTCGTTGGTTGCGTGTAAAAGAGCGTACGAGATTAAGAGAGAAGTGCGGGGAAAAGGCATTCAAGATCCCCCTTTAGATTCTATCCTCATCCAATTCTTCATATTTTACACTTTCCATCTCCCTTTTC